CTGCAGCATCAACCTGCTAAGCTTAGACAATCCTTCCACCTCAGTTTCTTCCCAAGTAGGTGGGATTACAGGCACATGCCACCATGCCTGGCTGTTTTATTTTTATTTTTTTTATTTATAGTGATGAGGTCTCATTATGTTGCCTAGGCTGATCTCAAACTTCTGGGCTCAAGCAGTCCTCTCACCTTGGCCTCCCAAAGTGCTGGGATGATGGGCGTGAACCACCGTGCCCAGCCTACAAACCGCTTTTTCTTAAAAATCAATCTTGAATTTATTGATGCTGATATGCCCAACATTATTAGTAAGGAAAATGTCTTCAAGGACACAATTCTAGTGTTTATTTTTTTCTCTTTAGCCACCAGGTACTTTAAAAGTAACTGTTATTGTTCTTAAAATAAAAGTGTGGCGTGGTCAGGAACTTATGGATAGCCATGTTTGTGTTAGAAAGAGCCCTGTTCTTAGAGTCAGATGGCCTAGATTGGAAACTCTGCAATCTTGGGCACAGAGGAAATGGAGGGTTGGGTATAGAATTTCTTTAAGCCTTAATTTCTTCAGCTCACAAAAGGGTAAGGGTATGTCTTGCTTCTTAAACTTTAGCATGGATAAGAATCACTAGAACAGCTTGTTAAGCAGATTCTGATTCTGGAGACTTGGGGTAGGGACCACAAAATTTGCATTTCTGACAAACCCCCAGGGGATGCTGATGCCTGCTGTCTGTGGACACTTTGAGTGGCACTGGGTTAGTTACATGTGTAGAAACATAGTAAGGGACTGTTTCAGAAGGTGGTGTGTGATCAATTTCTGTAGGCGGAATGATATAAAGGGGACTCAGGTGTTTCAAAGCAGCCGTTTATCTCTGTTTTCCTATAATTCTAGGTGGATCTTTCTGAGGAAATAGCTTCTTATGAAATGAACTCATTGTTTAAAGAACTATTTGAGCTTGGCCTTTTTAAAGTACTAGATAACCTGACTCTATAATTTTCCATTTTTTTCAAAATTTTATGTCTAGAAGTGGACTTGAGGCAAAGGAGAGATTGGCAAGGAAGATGAGAAGATTGTACCGGTCAGGGAGAACTGATTCTTTTCTGTTTTCTTTACAGCAACAGACAGAGTGGCAGCGATACTTACGCCAGAGCTTGGAGGTAGTGGCCAAAGTGATGGAACTCCTTCCCACACATGCCTTCTCAACACTGGTAACGCACCATCTGAAGGGGAATGAAGAGTCTTAATTATTTCCCTGTACATAGACCATGGATTTTTTTTTTATCTCTTTCTACCACTCCTCCCTGTCTTTCCCCCTACATAATTTTTTAAAACAGAGAATAATAATTACATAAGCTACCCTCAAATGTAACAAATGTTAACATTTTCAAGAAATATTTTTAAGTTAACTTTTGGAAGCCCAGTCTTGAATATAACATGAATTTTACTAATGCCTGAATGCCTTCATCACTTCCTTGAAAGTGACTAGGTCAAGCAGATATTATTTGTAAAAGTTAGAATTCTTGAAAAGCTAGTCTTTGTAAATCTTGCTCCTGGAAAGTTGGTAGCTGTCTCTGCCTGGCTTGTGTGCTTGGAATCTCTAAGGAATGATTTTATTTACTTAGTGGTGCTTGTTATTTGAAGAGATTTCATTAAGTCGATCTCTTCTTCATAGGTAAGATAATGCTTTGAGGCCAGATTTTGCATTGTATGACCCAGCTGTACCTTGTGATCTCTCGTGAAAAGTGTCATTTTCCTTTGCCATCTGTCTTTCTTAGGGGCCTGTCACAGTTAAGTCTTGTTTTTATCTTAATAGTGAGTGTAGCAGCTTTAGAAAGAAAGATGCAGCTCTGGTTATGAAGTCCTACCTGCTACATGATTTCTGAATAACCTGGCTGACTTTTCACTTTGCCATGCACTTTAATAAGGCATATCTATTGTTCTCTCAAGGACAGGAGCTCCCTTGACTTTGAAGGAAGGTATGGCCCTATCTCAGAGCTCTAGAGGATATAGATTATTTGGGACTTGATGTCCTTTGTTGGGAATGCATTAATCATACCTTAGTGTCCCTTGCTTTGCTTTAAAAAAAAGTGTCAAACTGATCAGTTGTGTCATTTCTTATTCTGTATATTAATTGGTGGTTTTGACTATAGAAATTGTTGGAAGCCGGGCTCGGTGGCTCAGCCTGTAATCCCGTGCTTTGGGAGGCTGAGGTGAGTGGATTGCCTGAGCCTGTGGGTTCGAGACCCGCCCGGGCAACTTGGTGAGACCTCCTCTCTACAATAAATCAAAAAATTTGCCAGGTGTGGTAGCGCATGCCTGTAGTTCCAGCTACTTGGAAGGCTGAGGCGGAAGGATCGCCAGTCTGGGTGACAAAGTGAGACTCCAACTCAAAAAAAAAAAAAAAGAAATTGTTGGAAATTGTTAGGGAAGACACTGAAGAAGAGCCACTTCTTCTTAGATACATATAAAAGGGTTCCCAGAGAAAAGTCTTTTATCCTGCCCCATAGGTACTTGTAATGTTTTAATATTAAAATGCTGTTCAAACTTGTTTTATGGTTAAAAAAAAAAATCTTTGTTTCTTTATTTACAGTTCCCAGTTCTTCAGGACAATTTAGAAGTTTATTTGGGATTACAGCAGTTTATAGTTACTTCAGGATCAGGTAAACTGGTTTTTATTTTCTAATTTAGCCAAACATTCAAGAAAACATTGAAATTATTTAGAATTACAATTAAGAAAATATTTCAATACTGCTGCCTTTGTTGTCAGAACACAATCTCTTTACTCTAGCTTTCTGCTCGCCATCTCTCCCCACTTCTAAACAGGGAGAATTTTTAAAGACTCCTGATCAAAAAATGGTGTGGGAGAGGCAAAAGATGAATTTATGACAGTATATTCCAAATAAATGTATGGAAAAATGAGCTAATTTGAAGCAAAGATACAAAACTTACTAACAACACTAGAATATTTCCCCAAGTCCTTTAAACCAGCAATTATACTCGAAAGAATAGCCTTAGACTTTCTGGTGATGTGTTCTTTCTTGTTTGATTTTTAGAATCAGGAGAACATAAGAACAGCTCCAGAGCCGGGGTACACTGATAGCTAGTGATCGTTAGCTCTCCTGTTATAAATGGCGGGTGGGAGACTCAGGCTGTACCTAGTTGGAAAGACTTGGCTGTCATTTACAGGCCCTACCTACTTAGGGTTAGCATTGGGGTTGTTATTTTATTGATAATACTAATAATAGTCTCCATTTGTACAGCTCTCATTACATGCCAGGCGCTGTACTATTTACTTGTGTTATTTCTTTCAATTGTTTTGCAAGGTATAAGTGCTAATACTGGTTACCTCTGTTTTACATAAGAGAACATTTATGTTCAGAGATGTTAATTTATCCAAGGTCTCATAGCTTCTTAATAGTACTAGTTCCAGGATGGTATAATAAGGCATAATACAAGGTTGAAAAAACTAAGATCTGACATTCATTTTTGCCAACACCAGTAACTTAAAAATGCACATGTCCTCCCTGTCCTGTCAGCTGCTCTTCTTCACAGTGTTTTTCTTACAGGAGTTATGCCTCGCCCTGGCTTGCAGCCCCTCTGTTGTATAACTGTTGGTTCAGCCTAATACAGAAGTGCCCACAGTCCAGCCTATCTCCTGGATGAGCTTGTTATTCATGGCAGAGCCTCCACGGATGCCTCTTTCTGAGGCTGCCCTTCTGGTGGCCCGTGACAGCTTGTTTCCATGACTATATTGGCTTCTACAAAATCTAGTGAGCCCCAGGAGGTTGATGGGACTTGGCATGCCCTGAGTATAGGCCCTGGCTTTGTAGACAGGGTAAGAACTTTAAAAAGACACTTTCAAAACAAGCATATCTGCAAAATATGCTATCAACACTAATGAAAATCATTTGACAGCGTAAAAATTCTACAGATGTTTCCAGAATCCATTCTTGAGAATAATATTACCCAGGTGGTCTTTTCTTCAAAGCCACTATTCAAATTGGAGTGTGCTCAGAACCCTAAAGACATTATTCTTGACTTATTAAAAAAATCAAGCGTGTGCTCTCCTTTGCCCCCCAAATTGACTCTATTTCCTACTAAGTGTTGTAGTAGTTTTTTTAAAAATTATTTTATAGCCGGACTCGGTGGCTCAGCCTGTAATCCCGCGCCTTTGGGAGGCTGAGGTGAGTGGATTGCCTGAGCCTGCGAGTTCGAGACCCACCTGGGCAACTTGGCAATACCTCATCTCTACAATAAATCAAAAATTAGTCGGGCGTGGTAGCGTGCGCCTGTAGTTCCAGCTACTTGGAAAGCTGAGGCGGAAGGATCACCAGAGCCCAGCAGGTCGAGGTTGTGGTGGCCGGGAGCGGCCACTGCACTCCAGTCTGGGCGACAGAGTGAGAGTCCAACTCAAAAAATAAATAAATAAATAAATAAATAAAAATAAAAATGATTTTATATTCTGTTGAGTCTGTTTTCTGGTGAAAATCTGCAGTGAATCTTAAATTCCTTTTCTGAGACATAACTGATAGCTCAGAGTTTTCATTCCAGAAGGATAATCTGATTTATTTTTCCGTGAATGGAATATCGTATACCTGCTCTCATTGCCGCCTATTTACCAGCAATTTCACAGAGCACTTGGCTCTTCTAGATCATTTATAAATCTCATCCTTAGCCATGATCCTTGGTGTGTACTCCTAGATCATTTATAAATCTCATCCTTAGCCATGATCCTTGGTGTGTACTCCAATGGCAAAACCTCTCAGACCAGAGAAATAACTTATTTCCTGTTTTAAATGAGCTCTCCTATCCATGACGAAGCATTCCCTATTCTTTGGTGGCTCAAAAGCCAAGTTTCCAATGCAAAAGGTATTAAAAAATTGAAACTATTGAGTAGTTTGTTCCCTGGTTCCCATAATCATTTACCCTCTCAAATAACCTCCATGCTATGTTAGTCAGCCTTACTGCCTGGCAAGAGAAACCATGTTCTCTTTTCCCCTGAGAGGCTATGACTCCTCCTCTCATTTGCACTTTACCTTTTAGCCCAGCCTTTAATTCTTGACTCCTTTCTGGAGCCTGTGTAAATGGGTTCAGCCATGATTCTTTTCCTCTTCTGATGCTTTTATTATTTTTGATAATAGGAGGTACATTTTGGCCAACAGCGATATCTACTGGGTTGTTACCTAGCCCAGAAGGCTCCTGACTTTTGATTTTGCCAGAGGATTCAAATCCTGAGGCTGCTGTGTGCTTTTTACTATTTCCCCTACTACTGCTGATCTTGCTTCTACTTCCTCAAGGCAAAACGTGTCCCTGTGGCTCTTCAGTTGCATTGTGCCTCTCTTGCTCCTGGCATGTCATCCTTTCCTCTCCCTTCTGTCTATTCTACTCTTTGTGGACGAGGAAACTCTCCCCTTATATGGCATTTATGTCCTTACATGACCCTAAAGTATCCATTCTGTATTTGACTTCTGTTACCCCGCACTGAGATACTCCCTCATTCTGTTTCTGTTCTGAGTGACCCCTTTAACTTTCTGGTTAGCCATGCACTCTTGCCTGCCTAAGGGATCGTTTCATCTACAACATATATAAGATTTTTAGACTATATTCTCTCTTCTGCTTGGGTTCATTTATGATTTGTTTGTTCTTATTAGTGGAATGCCTCACTGAAATGATAATTTTTACACCTTCACCTCCTTCAGTCCTCCAAAAAGAGAAGATTTAATTATGCTTAACGTTAGGGCC